GAATTAAGAGTCACACTTAAATTATCCATCTCGGAGATCGAGGCTCAGATCACCGACAAAGAATAGGAAGGTCGATTGTGATTAGTGTTCATATGTCGGACCAATTTGCCTACATGTACAACAGACTTATCTAGTCCGGAGATCGGATATAAGATAGTAAGGGGCCGAATGATAAAAATGGAATTAAGGTGGGACAAAGGAAAGACAATCGGAAGCAAGATCATCCGATAATTTAATGAAGGATGATAATAATAAGACAGGGCGAAAATAAGAAATGATGCAATTTCGAGGCGCAGGTATATTACAACCGTCACACCGGCACTAGAATTGGACCAGTATTAGTGCCCATAATGATTTTGTGTTGGATTCCGGTCACGTACATACATGTTAGCCAATCAGCCATAGAGATTGACACGGATCAGCCCGAGCTTCGGACATTAACGGTATCCGTTTCCTAGTTATATAGTATCGTTATTATCCACGATTAACAGGTTGGTGATTTATCGATAAAATGAACCTAGCTGTGAGGTGAAAATCATATCCTACACAGTATAGACTAGCATGTACGAAAATCATTATGGCGCCGGCAAAGATTCAAGGTACAATAAAAAAAATTGCAGGCACTTGGGTTCCGCTCGACATTGTTTCAACAGTGCCTGGCATAATGCCTATTGTTCTCGGCATGTTTACTTGCTGAACCCTAATAAAATGCATATGATACCCATTGTGACATTACCGACCTCTATAAAAAATAATTCTTCGCTGAATATAATACGGATGGATTCATTTTTATTACATTCAGGAAGGAATATGACTTTATACTTTGCAATTCCTTTATTAATGCCAAGTCTTTTTGTCGGTTGTTTTTGCGCGTGGTAATATTTCAGCATATTCATCGTCTAATGTGCCTTCATACAATACGCCCTCATCGTTTAGACTATCACTCTTTTCTTGTATGTTAATCTATTATGCATAATGAATAGCTAGCTATTAAATAATATTATTTTTATAGTCGATTTTAATTACTAACCACATTGACATTTTCTTTCATCTTCTCATTACTTGTTCCTTGTGTTCCTGACGTCTCACCTTAATCACCTAGACTGTCACTCTTTTCTTGTAAGTTAGTTTATTATGCATAATAAATAATTATATAATAATTATATATTGATTTAACAATCGAACTTAATTACTAACCACATTGACATTTTCCTCCATCCTCCTCTCCTTATTACTTGTTTCTTCTTGTGTTCCTAATGTCTCGCCCTCATTATCTAGATTGGTACTCTTTTTTCGTTTATTAGTCTATTATTCGTAATGAATAGCTACTATATATAATAGTGATATAGATTTGATAGTCGATTCTTCCTATTACTTACAATTTACCAAGGTTGCGGCTCATGTGAATGTGCTCTCGATTGGTACGTACATACGTATGTACGCCGGCAGGGACCCGTAAAAATTTGGATATCAAATTACAGATCTTTATTTGGATATCAGCAAATATTTGGATAAATTTGGAT